AAACCTATAAATTGCACAGATGAAATCGAAAAGACTGTGGCTGAGATTAAGAAAGGAAACAGGTGACTGCAGTACATCTCATATATGAAAACAGATTAAATGAATGAATCAAGAAAAGGAAATGGGAACTGATCTTAATTAATTCAAATCCAAACCAGACTGGGAGTATGGCACTGCAGGGCATGTGTACTGAGCTCAGGAAGCTGCCTAAACACACATTGAAATAAAAGTCCAGAAGAATCCTGTCTTTTTAAGGTACCACTATTTATTACTTTTTGCATTAAATCTGCCCAGACCAGGGACACAGAACCACTTTTACCAGCCCCACCAGTGCCTCTTGGAGAGCTGTACTGTCTGGAGTAGCTGGCAGCTGCCCAGGCAGATAAGTGGTAACCAGGCACTGCATAAAAGAAACATTTTTAAAGGAGTTTGTATAAACATTGGGAGAAACCAACAGAAATCAGAACAGTCTCAATTTAATGGCAGTATCTGACATCCCAATCATTACTGGCCAAATGCTGCTACAACTGTGGGAGATGGTGGTAAGACTCTGCTCCCTCCTGAAAAGACAGAGGTCATGAGAACAAAAGTTGGTGGCAGCATGAAGCCACCATTCCCTTTTTTCCATTTGGACAGATTTACTTAAGAACACAGTGAACAACAGCTACAGCATGTAACCCTTACAGAATGTAAGGGGTTTTTTTAATCCTATTGAGTTTAAATCAACACTCTTCACAAGAGATTTTGAACCCATGACTTCACACATTGGTGAAACCAGATCTGGAAGTACACATACCACTGAACTGAACGAAAGTCAAGATAATTCAGGGAGATGGTCTGTGTTTAATCAAGACTTCATGGAACACAATTTTTAGCTACTCAGTTCACTGCTGAGCAGACAGAGAACCTGAACAGGAAACTCACAGAGAGTTCCCAATCTAGAGGCCAACAATCCCCTTTTGCAAAAGTAAATTGTGGAGAAAAAAGCCCCAATGAATCCAACCCAGAATTAAAAGTTTTAGAATTTTCCTCTACTGCAAAATGAAACTGGTCTTGAGAATGTTTTGTTGTCACTTAAGAGTGCTAAACAACACAATTTCTCTCAGAAACAGGAAACACAACTTGTTTTTGTATCAGTTCACCACTAACCACAAAGGCGCTGCTAGCTCAAGCAACTTTCAAACCTCATTCTGGCTAACTGTCCTCTCTCTGCATGGCAGGCACTTTCCTCACTGGAAGACATACACACATAGCAGACTGAATGGCTGAACTTTGTAACGAGAACTCATCCTTAGCCCCCTTTTTATCTGCCCCCTCTAGCCCCTGCCAAGCCCTGGTCTAGGGCTGGGCCATTTCTGGCCACGTTAACCACCTGCCCTAGCTTCAACAAGCAGGGTGGACAAAGCCACATGCAGCCCCTCAGTGCAGAGGCATGAGAACTCTGTGGGAGCGAGGGCTTGCATTCCCTCATGCAAAAGGGACCCTCCCACAGCTCTGATGATGAGGCTGTCACACAAAAGCCAAGCAACCTTCTAGCTCTCCGTGGTTCAGATGTGCATTAATGTATCCCAAGCACACTGTGCTGATGAGGCTGTTCCACCGTTCTGGGGCCCAACATGGTGCTCTGGGGAGCTGGGCAGGGAGCTCGGTACCCCCTTCCCAGGCTGCAGCACACTGCACCAGCTCACATCCAGGTTCCAGGCTCCAAAGCACAGATGCTAAATCAACAGAGTGCTTCATAGGTTTTGAGGTCACTGGGACATGGTGCTTTTTTGGACTTCAAAACTGGTTTAACTGCCAAAGGAGCATCTCCAGAACTTGCCCTTCAGGCCAAATCTAAAACTCATTGCAATGATCACAAGAACCCCCCAAACATCAAAGGCCTTCATTTGGGATCTAATTATCTGTTCTCTCCAGTTTAAGTGTGGCTATTAGATCACTGAAAAACAAAGATTCAAAACAAAATCACCAGGGTACAATTTACAGGAAAGATAAGCATCAGATTGCCGACATAATTTTTTTTTGGCACTGAATTAGGGTAAACTTCATCTGCAATGACAGGCAAACAAATACTCGTGCTAAGCTTAAGAGAAGCATCCTCACTAATTCTGCACGGTTTGATGTATTGAGATTAGTAAGGGATATGATGCAACACAGATGAGCTCAACCGAATCCAGGTTTTGAACATCTTCCCACATGAGGCTCCCTGGTTTAGGTTGGAAGATTCATCCTGGCTGCAAAACGCTATCAGCCTAATTTTTCTCAGCGTAAGCAATCTCTCTGATTGAGCCTGAACGGCATTACTAACTGGAATGACAACACAGCTTAACTCAAACAGAGCCTGTCCTACTGAAAGTCAGAGCATGCTTTGTCTTTCACTTTTAAGAGATGAGATCTTAAATTCTCTGCTGACAGAGATTGGGTGTTGTCCTACTTAGATTACAGTTAGAATATTTACCAGATTTAAGGTATCTAGGGAGATAGCAATTCAGAGTAAACAAAGCAATTCTTTCATAAAACTAAACAAGAGTCTGAAGAGGGGAGCAATATGCTTCACGTAAAATTCATTAAATGAAGTAAATAACACCTTAATCAAGCAAACAAGTTCAATAAATATTCCACCAAAGTCAAAGGGTACTTCTGGTATAAGCCACAGCAAGAAGGATTCACAGCAAGACAGGAGGTCTAAGCTAGCCAAAGTCTGCCTTAGTTGAGGCTGTCCTTTCTAAGGCAGATCCTCTGGCTCTGCCCCCACACGTGGGGGCTGCATCTGCCTGTCCTGAACTTGCTTAAAGGACTGGCTGCTACCAGAGGGGTAGTTCGGCTCTCCCTTGCCAACAGCCATTCCTGTAGGATCCAGTAAACTTGCAGCTGCACAGTGAGTTGGCCCAGCTCACTGATTAGATACAAAATTAAATGACCAGAATAAACAACCTCTTTTTTTTTCTTTTTAAAAAAAAGCAGTTTTCCAACTCTCCCTGTGGTTGACTGCACAAGGTGGGGTCAGAATGCAGTGTGGAAAACAAAGGGCCAGAGCAGGACTGCCCTTTTCACAGCCAACCCACAACCCTGGGGAGTGCATTTAGTGTAACATACAAGTGAGAGTAAACCACCTAGGAGTACGATGAACGGAGGCTGAGTGAAAAGCAAACCAGCTGACACTAAACAAATGGCAGAATGAGCAAGTAAAACGACCAAGCCTAATGATTAGGACAAAGAAAAAGAGGCCAGTGCCTAACTGGCACTGTGTTTTTCCCAACACTGTAAATTAATAGTCTACACACACACATGACTGACTGAACAATCCTGTCCACATTCATTCTTTCCATAGCATAGGAAGGAAGAGGAATTAATCACCTGGGGATCCATCATCTAAATTAAATGCAGGGAAGGGCTGTGGAGTCCAACATACCCTTTGGGTACAGCGTTTTTAGTAGGTGTCATTTTTATAAATATTTGCAAGAATCAAGGGTCATTTTAGTAATAAATATATTGTTCTTGAAATTAAATATTGCTTAACCACATGTATTCTGGAAATATATATTTTAATATTTAACATACAGTTGGAAAAAGGACTAGAAATCAAACCTCCTCCCTTCTGGATTCATTCCCTAGCCACCGACTTGTAAGATCACAGCTCACCTAATGAATATTTCTGTACTGAAAGCAAGGCAAAAAAAGTTTCATAAGTAAGGAGCCAGAGACCACCAGCCTAGAACAGCACTCTCTTGAGAAATGAAAGAGGCAAATTCAGAACTTGACTCTTCACATCTGTCTAACAGCTATACACAAAACCTAGAAAGAATAAGAAGGAGGGAAAAAAAGGCCTGGCAATGTATTCCCTTGTATGTTTTTTAAGTGGTCCTGATCATCTATATGTAATCTAAAGACTCTTGGGCTCTCCAAGAGCAACTTGCCAAGGAACACTTTGCTTCTGCATGCCTGGACAGCTTGGTCACCTAACTAACCAACACTACAAACACTAAAGGCACATCAAGCATCAGACCTCAATGCATTCAGCAAATATCACTAGGAAAAACCTGAGCCTGCACAGATCAGAGACCTAGGGTTAGGACTGCAAGGATCTAGCTCCGAGGCATAGGTGCTTACAAGATCATTTACATGCCCAGGCACTTGACAGCTGTGGCCTAGCAGAAGTCCCTTGAGGTCCTGTTCTCTTCCTGCACAACTACAGTGGCACTGACTGGAAGTGTACATTGCAGGAACGGTCACAGTATCGACCTTTCCATTCTTATCTAGAGAAATGCATCAAATGAGATGTTCCCATCCAACTAGGCATGTTTCAACATCAAAGGAAAGTTACAAGACCAGCTTAATTTGAGATATTTATTTCAGACTGCTGTTTAATAACAAGTGATCTTACACACCCAGGAATCCAGCTTTATGGTATGCATTCAAAAAGTACACTGTGAACAGGACCGTTTGAAACTGCTTACAATCACAACTGCTGCTTTAGCAGTGCTCTTGGATACAGCAGGTTATAACTTCAGTAAATAAGTATTTTCTGATGTTAATTTCACCCCATACAAAAGGGAAACTCTGTCCAGCTATATTCACAACTTCCTTCTGAGTTTTGGCTTAACCGCATCTCTAATTACTTCAAGTGTTCTTAGAGAAGGTGATCTAGTTAGCTATTGCTGGCCTATGGCAATGCTTAGCTGTTAATTCACACAGAAAATCTGGCTTTTACAAGGACATTTTCATACAGCAATACCAATTTGAAACCGTTCTAAGTGCAACCTAATCTCTGACCTAATTTACATGAAGATTTAACTCCAAAGTACTTCGAAACAGTTCCTATTTTTCTGCCTGCTTTCATTTCTCAAAGTTGATAGGAAATACAGACCCCCACGGCACACGCGGCCGCCACCGCCGGGGCAGTTCCTGCGGCCCCTGCCCGCCCCTTCTCCGCGGCCCCCGGGCGGGCACTGCCCGAGCCTCCCGCTCCCCTCCCGCTCCCGCTCCCGCTCCCGCAGTACCTGCTGGGAGGGCTCCTGGCCGCCCCTCTGCACGCTCGCGGCTGCCGCCGGTCGCCTCCTGCCCGGCGGAGCTCCTGCGGATCGGCGCTGCCCTGCCCTGCCCCGGCGCTCTCCCCGGGCTGCTCTGCCTCCCTCCCGCCCGGCCCCCTCCTGCCCTTCGCAGCGGGCACTGCCAGCCCCGCCGCCCGCCAGGTGCGCTCCCACAGCGCTTACTCACCGATCCCTATCGCGGAGGGGGAGTTTCCCCGCCGCCCTGGGACTCTCCCGCCTCGCCAGAGCTACTCACTGGGGCAGACGTGCCTCCAAACGGCTGCCGGTGACTCTTCTTTGTCGCTTGCTGGACCATGACACCTGCGAAGTCGGTGCCAGAGCTGCCCCTCGCTTTGCTAGAAGCACAACTGGGCGTCTGTTTCAGAGAGAAAAGGCGAATTTTTCTTGTTTTACAATGTTCTTAGAAAATGGCATGTCTAGTTGGAATATGGATCCCTGTCAAGTTAGGCTTTATATGGACACATGAGAAAGCCCCTGCCACAGGAGTGCATAGTCTGTAGGGTAATTTAGGGATCACACACAGGGGATTGGTTCAGAAATTTCATCAGGAAATTCTGGTTTGGAAATTTTCTTGCAGGAAGGAAAAGTTCTGGGAGGCTCAAGGTGATCTCTCCTCGATTCCCGTTTTTGATAACTAGAAGTGCTGAAGTACCCCAGAAGGCAAATATGAGCAGAAGGTGGGGCTACACTGGTAGGAAATGGGGTGTATTTCCCGAAATAAATGCTGTTTACACTCTGAGAACATGAACATTTCCAGTCTGAAGTTTTGCACAGTGACTCTTGATTTGAGGTCTTCTGTGGATTCCCCATCCACCAGGACTGTAGTTTTTCTATTACGATATTTTTCATTTTAAATTTTATAGCACCACAGACCTGCTGCTAACTAAGAATTTCATGCCTGTCATCATGCAGTATAACACAGCTACTTCGAGCTCCAGAACCATTGCAAGGGAAACCCTCTGCCAAAAGCACAGACTCATAGTGTTTGAGCTAACAAAGCATCTCTGTTCATCTCTGTTCATCAGTTGCAAGTACTGGGTATCGTATAGCAGAGTAGCTCTGATTCCTGTTAATAGAGCTCATGAGATTATGTGTGGTCACTGTTTTAAAGAAATACCAGTAACCTGGTATGCTTCCAGAATTATCTGAGTCCTCCTGAGGTGTATATTAAGCACCCATTTCAAGGCATCTCACTAAATTAATTTACATGGTCGAACAGCTCTATTTACGCTGTTCATAAAAGTGTGTTGTTTAATTACTGATAAGGTCCCTGTATGCAGTTTGCTGCTATCAAGTTACGTCAGCATTTTCATGCTCCAGGCTTTTTCAGGCTCTCACCGACTTTCAGTCCTGCCTGAGCAGCTCTCCAGCTGCTGGAGTCGGCAGTGCAGTAGCAGCCAGCCCTTGGGACTGCCGGTTCCCTCTCTGATAAAGGAAAGGACACTAAAAATGGTATTTTTTATAAGGCAGTTAAAGGAAAAAACCAGTTTGCAGTACTAGTTTCCTTCTTAATTAGGGCAAGGCTGTGCTCTGTAATTTGAGAGGGTCCCTTCTCCCACCCCTGTGGCTCTTTTCATGATTTGGGGCACACCTTTCAGTCTGCTTTCAGCTGCTTGAAAATTAGGAAGTTAATTTCAATAAGCACAAAATGCAGCTGCACATGGAAAGGGATGTGGACAACCTGATCTCGTATGGAGGGGGAGAGCATTACTGTTATGGCTTTTTAGTTGGGATGGGAAACAAACCTCCCCCCTCCCTTAGAAGATTTTTGTTCCAAACAAATCTAGTCTGAGATCAGCAGTGAAACCAATTTACCTTTGTTTTTTGCTCCTCAGACCTCTGTGTCAGCTGCAAATACGATCTTCCTTCCCTGCCAGCCTCCTGGCAGCATCAGGAATGCCCTATGCTCTGCTCTAGCACTTGCTAATCTTTCTGTAACTAAATCTTGCTTGAGAAACCTGGTGATGTTCCCATGCCTCACTGATGCCTGCTCTCAGCCCCTGTCTTCTCTGTGTCCATCCCAGGCTGCCATTGCAACCACTCATCCTCACTAGTTCCTGGTGCTCTGCAGCTCCTCATGCTCCTCATGCGGCCTCCACCCAGGGCACCCCTGATACTAAGACCAAGCTAATAAACTGGACTGGTTTTGGCTGGCTCTGCCAAACCACAGTGCTCTCAGCTCCAGAAATCCAGGGCTGAGATACTTGAGCAGACCCTTGCAGGGCCAATAGAAGAGAATTTATTAGTCTGGGCTACGCTTCACCTCTCATATTCCCCAGCGAGGCCTGTCTCATCTGTTTTGAACTGCTGCACAGCAAACTTTTTCACTTGTTGCTGAGGCTGTTTATGCTATTGGATTACAACATGCCAGTGTTTTTCTTGGTGAAACAGGAGTAGCCAGAAGTAGCTACAAGCAAGAGTGCATCTCTGGGCCTCAAATCTTTAGGAACTAGACCTGAAACAATAAAACCCCTATGATAAATACTGACACAATGTTCTTGAGTAATTACTTAAATCTGCAAACGCTTTCAAATAATTTAAGACCCTTTTTCTTCACTTTGTGCAAATATTCCAGTGAACAAAGTTTTCAGGAGGTATGCTGATGGAGCCTGCAGCTTTGCATAACTCCAGCCCGAATTCTCCCTCTGATCCTTTGCATCAGAAACCTGATCCCACCACTTACTTGTGCACACTTACTGAATCATGCCAACTTCCATGTTAAAAATCAAGAGGTTCAGAGGTTGAATCAATGTTTGCACATTGATTCAGAGGACACTGGAAGCTTTCAAACGCAAAAGTGGAAAACATAATTGCATAGTAGTTCTTGCCTGGTTTACGAAGGCTTACGTGAAATTAAGCAGTTGGTGATTGCAAACGCCCAACTCTTCTGAGAATCCTTCAGAGCAAGCAAGCATCTAACACTACTGCTTATGAAATATTTTAGTTTCAGAAACTAATATCCAGTGATGTACTTATGATAAGAGTTAAAATCCAGTATATATTGCAATAGCCAAGTGATTAGGTCAGCTGTCAGGACCCAAAAGCCAGGGCGTTATCAAGATAAGTCCAGCACACAGCCTACAACGTCTCATAGCCAAACTCCATGTGTAGCCGCTCAATTAAGTTTTCTAAGGCAGAGGCTTTGTGAGAAAAAAAAAGGATTTTTCAACTTAGATTTCAGTGAAATAGCAGAGTACTTTTCGGCTGAAGTCTTTAAGCGGTTAATACACCTTCATTACAAACAAGTTCTGCAGCCGAAGGATTTTACTACTATTAAAGTTTTTGCAGCAGAAATCTTTATCCCTTGAGGTTTTGCTGGGAGAAACATGAAACTGTTTCCTCATCCTCCCTGTCCTACTCTCAGCTGGAGCCTGTTTTTTTCCATTCCCTTCATAACCTTTGGGTTTAGCTGACACCTTCCCTCCTCTGCCACAGATGCTGGGTGGGGTTCACACACTTCATTATAGAAAGCTGCTATAATTCAGTTCATGACTATTTATTTTTTCCTTTTATCAAATGAATGTTTAACATCACACTTTCTTGACATAATCTGTTGTAATTCTGTCCACCGTCTGAGACTGCAGCTAGTTGCCTCTTCCCACAGAACTGCAGGAGGACAGCTTTATTGCACAATGTCCAGCACTGTTTGAAAATGTTGCTACAATGCCTAGAGGAGCAATTGTATGGAGATACTTTGCTGTTCAAATTAGACCTTCTCTTTATCTCATTCAGATTTGATGTACTGTGAATTTGAAAACAGATTTGCTGGCTTGTTATGTCTTTCCATATGCTCTTAAGTAGATTTTCTCTGTACACACACATCATTAATACATTCTGATAATAAATCCAAGGAGGGCTCATCCTTCATTCACCAGAACACTTTGGTCCTGTCTCTCCACAACCAGCCCCACATCTGTTTGAGCTGCGCAGTTGCTTCTAAGCTACATAGTGGTTTTCAACCTCGTAAATGCCTGCCAGCCCAAAACTGAAGACAAGGAGAGGGTCCAGGGTGGCACTGAGGCACAAGGGTGCTGTTCTGGGCAGGCCATCGGCTTCAGCCTGGAGTGACGAACAGGAGGGACTGTGGGTGCATGTTCTATTTCATCCTCAGGAGGCATTTCTTGCTGCTGCTAGTGTCTAGGAGTCCAAGATGATGAATCCAATAAATTCAGGAGGAATTATAAACCTTTAGGTACTGTTGACAAAAGGATGAAACAGAGCCAAGGCATGCTGTCCAGTGTTTTCCAATTGCATCCTTTTCTCACCTGGCTTCATTAAGAGCCAGATGCTCTTAATCCGGCACAGGTTTGGGAAGACATTGTCTCATCTGCTGGAAAAAGGTAAGGTTAAATGTTATCAACATGTTGACACCTTCAGATATTTTCTAGAGCCCTTATACCTGCAAGATTGTGAGTACATGGTGCTACCTCAGCTTTAAAATGAGCTTACTCCATGCAAAAGTCAGTTGGCATATCAAATGTGTCATTTGGATCCAAACAATTCCAGTAGTTTCCTCTTTGTTCCAGTGCTGTAAGCGGTATGTATTTAGTTTTTGTCTGGATCCATACAGTCTGCAGTTTGAAAATTGCATTTTCAGGGTAAAGGATAAGAGAAAGGTAAAACTTTATCTGTTGCTGATTTCAAGAAAGATTCGAAAGATGAGTTTTCTTTAGAGTTCCCGTCTACCTTTCAGTGTAATAGTTGGACTCAGTTCAATAACAATGTTTCAAGTTGTTCCCAAACCTTCATTGTTAGGGGAAAAAAAACCACAAGAAAACAGGAAAGACCTGTTTCAGGAAAGGCTGTTGCATCACTGAAAAAGGGCCCATGGAGCACCTGACTCTGAAATGTGCTTATTTATTATAAATAATTTCCATGGCGTCACATTAACAAACATAAAAGGTCACGAACTCCTGTATTTGAAGCAAATGTGTTTGACATCTGGGATCTGGCAAAAGTTCCTCCTGTGGGATAGATTGTTTGCGCAGAGCTTTATTGAAGAATAATATTAAGAAGGAATTACGAAATATTAGTGT